ACACATATACCCATGGCATATGTAAGCAATATATCATTTAAATGACAACTTTGTTTGAAGAAAACATTTTTTTTTGTCATTTTCCAAAAACTTGTGGTAAAAAATTATTATTATTATTATTACAGGATTTATATAGCGCCAACAGTTTGCTCAGCACTTTACAATATAACGGGAGACAATACAGCAACAATGCAGGTCAATTCAAGAGGGTTAGGAGGGCCCTGCTCCTTGGAGCTTACAATCTAAGCGGTAAGGGGCTAGTGGTACAAAAAGGTAGTAACTGTGGGGGATGGACTGGTAGGAGTAGAAGATTCCATCATTAGCTGAGGGCAGGATAGGCTTCCCTGAAGAGAGAGGTTTTCAGAGATCGCCTAAAAGTGAGCAGAGTAGGCGATTGTCTGATAAATTGGAGCAGAGAGTTCCAGAGGATGGGGAAGCTCTGGAGAAGTCCTGCAGACGAGCATGGGAGGAGGAGACAAGGGAGCTAGAGAGCAGGAGGCCTTGCGAGGAGCAGAGAGTATGGTTTGGGTGATATTTGGAGACAAGATTGGTGATGTAATTTGGGGCAGAGTTATAAATGGCTTTATATGTTATTGTTAATGTTTTGAATTTTATCCGTTGGGCAATGGGAAGCCAGTGGAGGGATTGGCAGAGATGGGTGGCAGATACGGAATGGTTAGTAAGGTGGATGAGTCTGGCAGCAGCATTCATGACAGACTGAAGAGGGGATAGCCTGCAATGAGGTAGGCCAATGAGGAGGGAGTTACAATAGTCAAGGAGAGAGATAACCAGGGAGTGAATGAGTTGCTTAGTAGATTCCGAGGTTAAAAATGACCATATCTTGGAGATGTTGCAGAGGTGAAGTCTACATGATTTGGACAGCGATTGTATTTGTTGCTGAAAAGACAGATGGGAGTCTTGGATTACACCTAGTACCCTGGCATGAGGGAAGGGACTGATGGTTGTATTATTGGTCTTAAAGGAGATGTCAGGGGAGGGGGAATGTGCTGGAGGAAATGCTAAGAGCTCAGTTTTGGAAAGATTGAGTTTGAGGAAGTGGAGTGACATCCATGCTGATATGTCACTTAGTAGGTTAGTAATGCGAGAGGAGACTGAAGGGGTGAGGCGAGGAGTAGAAAGATAGATTTGTGTGTCATCAGCATAGAAATGGTACTTAAAGCCATGGGAGTTTATCAAGTGACCAAGGGAGGAGGTGTAGATGGAGAAGAGAAGGGGTACAAGGACAGAACCTTGAGGGACCCCTACAGAAAGAGGGAGTGGAGCGGAGGAGACAGAGTTATAGATAACGCTGAAGGAGTGCTGCGATAGGTAGGAGGAGAACCAGGAGGGAGCAGAGTCTCGCAGGCCAAGAGAGTGGAGTTTTTTGAGAAGGGGATGGTCAACAGTATCAAAAGCCGCAGAGAGGTCAAGTAATAAGAGTACGGAGCAGTGGCCATTGGTTTTAGCAGTTAGTAGATCATTAGTGAGTTTTAGTAGGGCAGTTTCAGTAGAGTGGAGTGAGCGAAAGCCAGACTGTAAAGGGTCAAGAAGGTTGTTGTCAAGGTAAGAGCTCAGGTGATTGTAGACTAAGCGTTCTAAGAGTTTAGAGGTACAGTGGGGATCGAAAGTTTGGGCATCCCAGCTAAAAATTTGTATTAATGTGCATAAAGAAGCCAAGGAAAGATGGAAAAATCTCCAAAAGGCATCAAATTACAGATTAGACATTCTTATATGTCAACAAAAGTTAGATTTTATTTCCATCATTTACACTTTCAAAATAACAGAAAACAAAAAAATGGTCTGCAAAAGTTTGGGCACCCTTGTACTGCCCCCTTTTGGCAAGTATCACAGCTTGTAAACGCTTTTTGTAGCCAGCCAAGAGTCTTTCAATTCTTGTTTGAGGTATCTTTGCCCATTCTTCCTTACAAAAGTCTTCCAGTTCTCTGAGATTTCTGGGCTGTCTGTCACGCACTGCTCTTTTAAGGTCTATCCATAGATTTTCAATTATGTTGAGGTCAGGAGATTGTGAAGGCCATGGCAAAACCTTCAGTTTACGCCTCTTGATGTAATCCCCCGTGGATTTCGAGGTGTGTTTAGGATCATTATCCATTTGTAGAAGCCATCCTCTCTTTAACTTCAGCTTTTTCACAGATGGCATCAAGTTACCATCCAAAATTTGCTGAAATTTTATTGAATCCATTTTTCCTTCTACTCGTGAGATGTTCCCTGTGCCGCTGGCTGCAACACAACCCCAAAGCATGATTGATCCAACCCCATGCTTAACAGTTGGACAGAGGTTCTTTTCATTAAATTCTGTGCCCCTTCTTCTCCAAACGTACCTTTGCTCATTCCGGCCAAAAAGTTCAATTTTAACCTCATCGGTCCACAGAACTTGTTTCCAAAATGCATCAGGCTTGTCTATATGTTCATTTGCAAAGTTCAAACGATGATTTTTGTGGTGAGGACGTAGAAGAGGTTTTCTTCTGATGACTCTTCCATGAAGACCATATTTGCACAAGTATCTCTTTATAGTGGAATAGTGTACCACAACTCCAGTGTCTGCCAGATCTTTCTGGAGGGATCGTGCAGTCAAACGTGGGTTTTGAATTGTTTTTCTCACAATCCTGTGAGCTGTTCTGTCTGATATTTTTCTTGGTCTTCCAGATCTTGCTTTAACTTCCACTGTTCCTGATGACTGCCATTTCTTAATTACATTCTGAACAGAGGATATTGACATCTGAAAACGCTTTGCTATCTTCTTATAGCCTTCTCCAGCTTTGTGAGCGTCAACTATTTTCAGTTTCAGTTTTCTAGACAACTGCTTAGAAGAACCCATGGTGCTGATTGTTGGGGCAAGGTCAGATGAGTCTGGGTATTTAAAACCTTTGAGATTGACATCACCTGGTCTTCCCAGACGATGATTGAGAACAATCCATGACACTGGCAGGTCTCAGCTTGGCAAAGGGGGCAGTGCATGCTATAAATTCTGCAGGGTGCTCAAACTTTTGCAGACGCCATTTTTTGTTTTCTGTTATTTTGAAAGTGTAAATGATGGAAATAAAATCTAACTTTTGTTGACATATTATAAGAATGTCTAATCTGTAATTTGATGCCTTTTGGAGATTTTTCCATCTTTCCTTGGCTTCTTTATGCACATTAATACAAATTTTTATCTGGGGTGCCCAAACTTTCGATCCCCACTGTAAATGAAAGCAGGGAGATGGGTCTTAACTTGTTCAGGTTGGTGGGGTCAAGAGAGGGCTTTTTAAGTATGGGAGTGATGTGTGCATGCTTTAGAGGGGTGGGGAAGGCACCTTTAGAGAGGGAGAGATTGAAGATGTGAGTTAGGGAGCATAGGATAGAAGAAGAGGGTGACCGTAGTAGTTGTGTGTGGACAGAACCCAGGGGGCAGGTAGATAGATGGGCTTCTGAGAAAACCTTAGTGACTTCTTCAGTAGTAGCAAGGTCAAAAGAGGAAAGTGTTGAGGGGGGTTTAGTATAAGGTTTGCCAAGTGGGATGGATGTTTTTGCAGTAGAGATGCCCCTATGAATTGCACCAATCTTGTTTTTGAAATGATTTGCAATCTCGCAAGCAGTGAGTGAGGTGCTGGGTGGAGGTGGAGAAAGTAGAGAGTTAAAAGTAGAGAAGAGACGACGAGGACTGGATGACAATCTATTGATGAGAGTGACAAAGTAGGCTTGTTTTGCAGCATGGAGGGAAGAATTGTTTATTAAAACAGCAGATTTATATAGGGTGAAAGCTTGGTGTGAAAAAATAAAGTATTCCATTGACTCAACATGCCTCTCAGGGAAGAAAGGAACAGGAAGTGCCAATCTAAGTGCAGTGGCCTGTAGGAGGAACTAGAGGCTCTGAGCGCATAGCCTGTTCCCTGTGTTCCTGGCATTCTTTCCATCAGACCCTCCACCTCTTCCGGTGATGTCACTTCCGCTGATTCATTCCACGCTGGTCAGTGCGGACTCATCTAGTCAATAGACGCCGACGGATTGGCTCCAGCACACTCCCAGACTACGGGAAGACTTCCCCTCACACTGCACCCACGGCTTATACCATCCAGCTGACTGGCATGATCGGCGGTACCTGCAGGAGGGATAGGAGCGGTCACATCCACAGATGAGCTTGTTTTATTTATTGTCCTGTGAGTGTTTTTAATCCTACATAATAAATATTACTTTTACAACCGCACTTAGATTGGCACCTCTTATTCCTTTCTTCCCTTCTTTGCATACAGAGTTGGCCTTACTCTATAGGACGGCTGCCAACTTTGTGTAAAAAAAAAAAATAAAAATGTTTTGTCATATTCCAAAACTTGTGGCAAAAATAAATCTTCCATGGACTCAACATGCCTCTCAGAAGAAAGCTTAGGGTGTCTACTTTCCGATAAAAGGGGTCATTTGTGGGTGTTTGTACTGCCCTGGCATTTTAGCACCAAGAAATGTGATAGGCAGTCAGAAAGTGAAAGCTGTAAAATTCCAGTATCCATACCATAGTTTGTAGACGCTATAACTTTCACACAAACCAATTAATATACAGTTATTGGGATTTTTTGTAACCAGAGACATGCGGCAAAGTACATTTTGGCCTAAATTTATGATGAAATTTGAGTTTATTGGATTTTTTTTATGACAGAAATGAGAAATTACTGTTTATTTTCAAATTGTCTTTTTTTGTTTACTGCGCAAATAATAAAAAAAAACAGAGGTGATTAAATACCACCAAAAGAAAGTTCTATTTGTGTGAAAAAAAAAGGACATAAGTTTTGTTTTGGTACAGACTTGCATGACTGTGCTTTTACCAGCACAGCGCCGAATAGCAAAAAATGGCCTGGTTAGGAAGGGGGCTAAATCCTCTGGAGGCAAGTGGTTAAAATTATGTTTTATAATGTATTGTGCTTTTGTTTTCACACATGCAGGGGGCTGATTACCAGATAGATGAAGAAAACCAAGGAAATCTATCTTGTTTAGATAATAATCATTCCCATTTTATTCTTGTGGATGATGGTACAAATGGAAGATATGGTGCTGAAATCATTCTGCGGGCAAAGCTGGAAAAGTTCATTTCACAGCAGACAAAATTAAAAGGAGGTAAACAAGAGTACAATAGGAAATGACAAGCCCCAGTAGCAAATCTAGCTGTACACTGTATGGTCATATAGGTAGAGACCATGCAACACAAAGGGGGACATTTACTAAATAAGGGAACTTTTAACTCAATAGTTGATTTAATTTAGTGAATTAAGTGATGGTGTGTTCAATTTGAAAATCATGTATAAGGTACATAGGGGATAAAAGGTATCCCATGGAAACATTGCTTTGCTTTGTTCAGAGAGAAGTGACCAAGCTGGTCCAACTATCTGTTTGCTTTACTAACAGATGCACCCACTGAAAAAAGCTACATGCAGTATACAACACTATGTTCATGCAGCAAGATGTGAATTCCTGTCCCACTGCCGAAACAAAATTGAGTAAGGCTGAGCGCTGCTGAAGATGCAGGTGGATAACGTCACAATCTTAGTGTCACGGTCAGGCATGAAGACCAGTAGCTGTAGCATTAGAAAGGTTCAGACAATAACCAGCAGGATAAATACACAAGTGGATCCCCTAGCAAGTGATGCAGGCTTACCTAGGGCATAGGGTCTAAGCACTAATCATCTCAATGGCTGTGATTAACAGCAACGGGAGCCAATGGTGCACACTGCTCTCTCACCCAATGAGGAGGGAAAGGCCTGGGAGAACAAAGGATCTCATGCACATCGCTGCATTATGATGGGGCTCAGGTAAGTATTAGGGGGGCCTGCTGCACACAGAAGGTTTTTTACCTTCATGCATAGAATGCATGAAGGTAAAACATCCTTCAGCCTTTATAACCTCTTTAAATGGAAGGTTCATAGGAGGAGCAAGGAGTTCAAAGTTCAACATGATATCAAGTAAGGTTGTCCAAGGATTCAGGCAGGGAGCTGGACAGAATTTCAAGTGGCAGAGTAAGAAGAGCTACTGCCAGATTCAATCAATGTCTGGGCTCAGATCTGGATCCTGATAGTACTCCCCTCCATCCAGGACAACCCCTGGAAGTCCCAAGAATTTGCTCTTGGCTTGTCCTTCCCAGAATAATTTCCCTGTTGGGATTAATATATTACTCTGAATCTGAACCAGATATTGTAATTTGTTCCTAAAGATCTTGAAATCAAGAATTTCCTTGATTCTGTTCTGTTAGTGAAGCAAGTAATTAATTTGGACCAGCTCAGTCCAAACAAACTATTTGAATTCACAAGAAACCTGGAGCTAAGCTTTAAGAATGAAGCACTGACAGGACGTTGTGTGATGTATAACGCTTGGATCACATTCAAGATGTTTTTTTTGGGGAACAGCCACATGGTGGATGAAGTGTGGATTAATTAAACTTTATATTATGCTAAGAAAAAGTAAAAAAGTCAGCAATTATTGGAGTCAGGCACCTAGCAACCAAATAGGCGTATATACCAAACCTAACATGCAGTACAGATAAAACAAATCTCTGAAGGTTGGATACGATCGGACACATGGTGGAAAACACAATTTTAGCACATGAACTTTGATTTATTTGATCATTGCATTTATGTTTGATATATACAGTCTGTCATTGGAATATTGCTTAATTGTATTGCACTTTTTTTGGGCTGCACATTTGTTTTATCTGTACCCTGGATGTGATTACCTAATTGTTTTGTGATGTAGATCTTGCAGCACATCTTCCTAGTGAGTGAGCAATCACTCAAGGGTGTGGTGTGCACATACTGATCTGACACTGTGGTGGAAAACACGATTTTAACACATGAACAGGGGCAGACTGACCATTTGGAAACTCGGGCACTGCCCGAGGGCCCGGGGTCAGTAGGGGGCCCCATGAGATGCCCCTGGTATTTTTTTTCATAGGCTTTTTTGGCAAAGACACAGGGGCCCCATGATCCCCTATTGCCCGGGGGCCCCATGAGTTGTCAGTCCGCCCCCCTGCACATGAACTTTATTGAATAATTTGATCATTACACTTAGATGTATTGATATGTATTTACTTGAAATATTGCCAAATTGTATTGCACTATTCTTGGTGCTGCACACATCTTTTATCTGTATTACACTTTATATTATAGACTATATTTATTGATTAAATGCACCTTGTAAGATGGACTGAATTGATATATGTGGCACTTTTTATAGCACCTTAGTGAATTCATTGTATTTAATATGTGCATTATTTCATTAATTATATATATTTGCTGTCATGTAGGGTTAAGTTCTGGATATATTTTACTTAGTAATTCAGCCCTATTATATTTATCTCACTATGTTAACCACATGCCGCCCAGCCACTGTAAAAATACGGCGGCAGGGTGGCACGCACGGCTGGGCAAAAGCACGTTTTAAAACGTGTGTTTTTAAAACAGGTAGGGGGCGCATGAGAGGCGCGCCGCCGCCCTACCTGTCCCGCCGATCACAGCCGCGGATGTCAGTCGCCGGGTCACAGCCGGTCGTTACCGGCTATGTCCGACGATCGGCGGCAAACGCTGACAGAGAGCACAGCTGCAGTAGCTTAGCACTTAGGTTAGGTTAGCACTTCCGCCTGGCAGTACTAAGGTCATTGGTTCGAATCCCAACCACGGCACCACCTGCCTGGAGTTTGCATGTTCTCCCTGTGACTGCATGGGTTTCCTCCTACACTCCAAAGACATGCTGCCTGTGGACTGAATGAAAAAAAAGATTTACATATCCAACTCTGAGGAAAGGTGGATAAGAGGAGGAGGTGTCCCCAGGAGGGGAAATAGGAGATATTCACATATGTTCCAAAGGTCCATCCATGAGTGGCTATATGTATGGAGTGAGAGGAGATAAAAATAGGATCTGAACAGACCTTCACTTCCATTGGGAACACCTTATATAGGAGCATCATCCCACCAGTCCTGGAAGGACAAAAAGTTTATTTGCCTAAATTCATTTGGGGGCAAATATTAAGGTGAGCGCACACTGAGACCACACGGCACCTGGAAAGAGGGATTAAGGAGTTCACCTGCACATTGCACATTGCACCAATTTATATATAAAAAAGACTTTTTAATTCATCTATGCACTATATGTATTATACTTGCACAATTTATTGTATTACTATTATTGATTGAGCACATATGGTATAATATAGCACTTTATTGGTTCAATTTAAATATTGATTTATATGTCACATCAATTACTTATTATTAATTATCATTATTTAATTTATATATTTATTTAGATGAGTGTTACACAATATGTGATTAAAAACTTAAAGTAGGAGCGCGGCATTATAAATACATATTAATTGCAGTAGCTGTGCTTTCTGTCAGTTCCCTGACAGCTTTTGGACACGCTGATCAGGACAGAAGAGTTTCTCTCTCCCAATCAGTGTGTCCCCTGCAGTACACACCCCCGCCCCCTAGTAAAACACTCCCCTCACACAGTTAACCCTTTCCCTGAATAATAAACTTAACCCCTTCCTCCCCAGTGCCATTAGTACAGTGTCAGTGTTTTTTTTTTTTTTGCACTGATCACTGTATTGGTGTCACTGGGGATGTCAGTGACCCCAGTCATTACCCCCCAATGTCAGAATGTCCGCCGCAGTCCGCCATAAGTCGCTGTTCGCCGCCATAAGTCACTGATCGCCGCCATAAGTGGCTGATCACCGCCATTATTAGTATAAAAAAAAAACCTAAAAATCCCAGTATCCCGCCATTTGTAAACGCTATAACTTTCACGTAAACCAATTAATTTACACGTATTGGGTTTTTTTTTTTTTTAGCAAAGACATGTCGCAGAATGCATTTTGGCAGAAATTTATGACTAAATTTGATTTTTACATTTTTTTTACTGGACATGTTTTATAGTAATAAGTCCAAAATATTGTTTTTTTTCCTCAAAGTTGTCAGCCTTTTTTTTTATAGCGCAAAAAATAAAAACCGCACAGGCGATCAAATACCACCAAAAGAAAGCTCTATTTGTGTGGAAAAAAAAAGGATGGAAATTTAATTTATGTACTGTTTTGCATGACCGCGCAATTGTCCGTTTAGCGCAGCGCTGTATAGCAAAAAAATGGCGTAAATTGCAGTATCTATACCATAGTTTGTAGACGCTATAACTTTCACACAAAGCAATCGATATACACTTATTGGGATTTTTTTTACCAAAAACATGGAGCAGAATATATTTTTGGCCTAAATTTATAACCAACCTTTGATATATATTTTTTATTTTTTATAGCTGAAAGTAAAAAATATCGTTTTTTTTTTCAAAATTTTTGGCCTTTTTTTGTTTATTGCGTGAAAAATAAAAAGCGCGCAGGTGATCAAATACCACCAAAAGAAAGCTCTATTTGTGTGAAAAAAAGGACGTAAATTTCCGTTTGGGTGCAGCATTGCATGACCGCGCAATTATCAATTGAATTAGCGCCGAGTAGCAAAAAGAGGCCTGGTCATTAAGGGGGGTAAATCCTCTGTAGGTCAAGTGGTTAAAGGTGCACCTCAATTCCCCCCTTTTTACACCTGTTTTACAAGTGTTCAAATACCTTTACTATTTCAAAATCGTTCTAAGGGTCTAATTTTTTATCTCTTTGTTTTACTGGTAACCAATATGCAAATAAAAGATATAAAACATAGTATAGCTATAATGTTGTAATTTGAATATCACTATCACCATCTGCTCACAACGGTTTATAGACATAATCTGATTAAATGACAGACACAGACTGTGAAACCGAAGCACATGAATGCAAATCACCTCATATGCAATTGGGATATAGCTGTGTTCTTTAATAGACTCTACTTTAGCCTTTCTATAATGGCTTATCAAGTCTCTCTCTGGATGTTATTAGTAGAGGACTCATCTCAGCACTCCTCTATAGCTGCCTTTGCATACTTCTTTCTTTGGCTCACCTCTCCTCATCTTAGAGATGTTACAGATGTATTCAAGCCCACCTTCAGACAAAATGTTATTCTTGTTTTATAATTTTGGAGATTTTATAGACCTATAATAACCTCTTTCAGGTATGTTGCTGTCTAGGTCCATGTTGGTGAGATTTGCACTCA